TCACTGCTTCCAGCTTCACAAAGCTTCAAAGGGTTCTTACTTCTTTTTGGTGGTAAAGTGAATCTCTTTTTGGGTTTGGTCGGAAAAAACAGGACATTCGAAGACATTAAACAGAAATAACTGTGAAGGAGAGGAAGGATTCAGAGTTTTAGCAAAATAAAAATGTAAAAAAGTTGCATAATTAAGGAAATAAAACAATACAAACAAAACAAGCAAACAACAAAACAATAATCTCTATCCACACAACAGAGCATAAAGCATAAACAGTAGTAAAAGAAAAGAATGAGAGACAGAAAACAAACCTATAGGTAGAAGCACCTTGAACTTGAGTACGATCTAAACTTCCTGAAACCGAATTGAAGTGAAAAATGAACAAATTCACAGAGGATGAACGCCATAGACATTTTTTTATTATCTAGTTTGGGTTAAATAACGTGGGATTGGATCAGTGCAGAGACATGAATACTCGCCGATACCCGATCCCACATTTCAGACAGTATCAGGAGGATTTCACATACTGGTATCAGAACAAGTCCAATATTATACCAAACAGTCTGAGAGATAGATGAGACGAATGACACCAGTCTGTAAATATGAAGCTGCAGCTCTAATACGTTACATGTGATTTCAACAAGCTAAAAACGATTGCTATTTTGAAATGCTAAAAAGTTCAGTGACACAGACGTGACCAGTGGTTTTTTTATCCTGTTGCAATTATTGTTTCAGAAACTGTAAACTGAGTAATTCATGTTTTTGCTGCTGTTCATTCTTTATTGTTAATGTGAACAGTTGGAAACAAAACAAGTGAGCTGGAAGCAGCCTGTGATCCAGTGACTGCTGTACACTCCTGATTTCACCTCAGCTGATGGGGTTAGTGACGCTGGGTAATTGGTCTCATGTCAGCGGACTTTCCATCTCCGTCCCTCTGGAATTCCTCCATTCCTTTTTTCGGTGAAGCGTAACGGTCTGCAGCAAAAGAAAGCGGTTGCTGTATGTGTAACGTGATGGCCCAGAGGACCACAAACCTGTCTGAGGTGTACCACCATGTTCATTCACCCCGCTGTCACGTCAGAGAGTTACAGTACAAATAAAGGCAGTGGTGTTCTGTATATAGTGCTGAAAGGATTGAGTGATTAATCAATGAGTAAACCCACCGTTTGGATATAAGTTAGCCTGACCATTGCTTCATTTTACAAGCTGTTTTCTATTATTTTTAAATGGAATATCTTTGGTTTTTGGACTGACTAATTTTAATGAAATATTATTTATTCTAAATGTACGCGCTGGCCCAACCCATAACCTATGAGTCCCTCCTGTCCGTCCTCCTGTCCGTCCTCCTGTCTTTGCTGAACCATTTGTCTCAGCAGAGAGAGCTCATTCTGTTTCCGGTTATATTTTCTGTGCATTTTCACTCCGTTTCATCCCACTCTCTCCTTTTGATTACTGGGTTTGGAGCCTCCAGCCTATATTTATGCCGTTCTCTCTCTCCAGAGCCTTTGCTCTTTGTGTCCTCATCGGTCTGCCAACGGGAGCTGTTTGGCTGCTCGCTCAGCGGTGGGCAGCGAGCCCTCTCTAACAGCGCTGACATGTCAGCAGCCCCTCTGTCCTCTCCAGGGCTTTCAGCGGCGAGCTCACTCTCGGGGTTATTAGTGTGCAGATCACTGGGGAGCCCGGCCCAGGCTGCACTGCCTTGTGCTGGCTAATTAGCATCGTTTCTGGCTCTGTGGGGTTTTTTTTTTGAAAAGGGCAAGAAACCAAGAGTGCAATCACACCTACACTACACTGTTTTCTGTGTTATAGTTAGTTTAGTTGGGGAGTTTGTTGGAGTGCAGTCCTCCCACTTATAACAAGTTCCTGTAAACACAAGTCACATCAGACTCTCAGTAGTTTGTTTATCAGACACATTTTTGTTAGCATTCATCTCAAGAGGTTCAAAAGTTTAGAAGGAAGAGCAAATCTGATTCCAGTCTGTGTGAAACTTCACCGACGTTTGACAGCTGCTTCAAAGAAAACGAGTTACAAGTTTTTTGTTTGTCACTGGAAAAATGCAGAATTTCAGTTTTCTATCGATCTTCAGACTTCTGACTTCAAAACAAGGCATTTAAGAAACAATCTGAGAGCAATCTGAATACATCACTTTGTTCTCTGGGGAATTTTAATGGGTTTTTTGACAATTTTCTGACATTTTATGGAATAAACGATTCATTGATTATATGAAAAACAAGACTACAGACACACACTGTGAGGCTGTACAGCTACGGCATTCCTGCACGCTGATGTTTAAGATAATCATCAACTTTATTTCTATAGCGCCTCTCAAAACCAGAGCTTCACAAAATACAATACAATATGTGCAAAGATTGCATAAAGCCTTAAACTACTCAGAGATAGAAATGTCAACAATCAAACGTAGAGATAAAACTAAATATTAAAGAACAATTTATTTCGTCTTAAGTTTGGATGAACAGTCAGGAGATCCACTGATCAACTGATCAATGATGAACAAATGAAAATAATTGCTAGCTGCAGCTCTTGTTATGTAGTTCTTAGTTCTTCATATCAAAGCAAGCATAAAAGCATATTAAAATGTACCTCAATCCATTGGAAGTTGATTTGATTTGACACATTGTGAACAAGTAGATTTACTTGAATGTTTGTGATAAACTGAAGGATGAAAATGTTCCTTTTGGCTGCAGAAAACACTGAATTTGTCAAAAAAAGAAGCCTATTAAGTCCGTATGATTGTTAGAAATAGATATAGCAGATAGTGAATGAACGGCAGCACACAAGACTGAAAGAATTAACGTCACTGGTGGGTTGCGTGCGTTTGCTCTATACTACCCTGTATACATCGCCCTCCATGTGAGCAGCTCTGTGAGGTCACAGCTATCGCACTCGACCCTCGGGGCTCGCCGTAGAGTGGCAGCACCCTTCCATCTCTATCATCGGTGACCTATGACCTCCTCTGTTGTGCTGGAAGAAAAGCTGAAGGGGGACATGAGCTCAGCTCTGCTGTCATCAGGGTCACAGCAGAGAGGAGAAACCTGCTCGTCTATTCTCCCTACAACTGGCTTTCAAGCTGAAACCTTTATTTACAAGTGACGCACACACACTGAGGGCAAGGTTGTGTTTTCAGACTGCAAAAAAAATATAAAAGCTTTGTGGATTTAGTGTAGAGATGTGCAGACCACACACACAAGAATCTGCAGGGTTTCCACACATCCTGGAAAATATCTGGAAAACCTGGATATTTAGAGACCTGTTTTTCCAGTCGGGGAAATATCTGGAAATTAATTAAAATGAGCAAATATCCTCAATATCAGGTTGCCTTCGTAAACCTGAACAAAATTGGAAATTGATTTCTTAAAGGACCCGTTTCTTGTTGAGGGTTTACATCATGATGCCACAGTGTTAGATGATACGGCCTTCATATTTTCTGTCCACATGGCGCAGCATGGCACATTCACATCCGACAGCCGTTCAGGAGCAGCTGATTGGTCCTCGCTCCGCCCTGTACGCTGCCCGACCAAGCAGACAATCTAAAATGAGTCCTGCGGCTCCAATCGTACAGTGTGCACAATTTAATCCTCAGAATTGAATCCATATATTGACATAATCCTCGGTTGGACTGAAAAATGATGAGAAAGAAACTGATCTTCGTGCTTGTCAAACACATATGACAAAGATCTGAGGTTTTGTGATCCGTGCGAGCAGCAGATTTCTAATGAAAGCCACACAGATATGTTCTGTAGAATCAGATCACGTGGCTCACCGCCAACATGCCGACATCTTTGAACGTTTAACGGCATCAACCTCAGAAGTTTGTGGTAATTTTGGCGGTTTGGCTGAGCAGCGTCAAGATGGAGGACAGTGAGACACAAACAAGGAAATAAATGAAGAGGAATAGTGACTTTGTGTGTGATTTCAGCAGAGGAACAAATACAGACTGTGTAACCGAGACGTTGTAGGAAGAGGTGGTAAAGTGTTGTAACAAAGACATGTGACTGTAATTGGTCGGGAGCATCGGGGTGGGAGGGATTGTTCAAACATTTATTTTATTCTGTGTTTGCACTGCGTAATGCTTCGAGCAGCCAACAGGAAAGTGATTCATTCTTGGTGTAAACGTACAAATAGAAACTTTGTGTTTGGACTGTTGAAAAGGATTAATTTCCTATTCCTGACTGCTTTCTTCAGTATCCTGATTCATTATTAATGGCTGTCATATAAAATACATTAAGTGCAGAAATATTTTCTTATTTAAGGCTTATAGTAGCTATCTACTAATCCTCCCTCTTATAAAACTTTAAAGCACTGTTGAGGGGAAGCAGAATAGTGAAAATGTCTCTAATCTATTACTGGATTAAATAACAGCAAAGACCGTCTGAGCTGCTACACAAAGGCACCATGTCGGCTCTTGTAATGGCACCAGTGACGGTTTTTGGAAACTTGACATGCTGTTTAAAAAGTGAGCCCGTTTTACCCACCTTGCTCTCAGACTTGTAGATGGACTGTACTTGTATAACACCTTTCTGGTCTTCAAAGCGCTCTACACTACGTGCCACATTCACCCAGCGCTGGCATCACAAACAGATTCACTCAAATTTGGGATTATCATGTCCAAGGACACGGGGATCGAACCTTCTGAATAGTGGACGACCCTCTCTACCTCCTGAGCCACAGCCGGCTCCAAACTGTGCTGCACATCAACTACACTGTTTCCAGGATCACTGAAATTTGTAGAATCTCTAGATCTGCTCGCTTGACATGGCATTTTACC